CGAAAGTCAGCGGGGGAAAAAAAAAAAAAAAAGCAAGACACCCAAGCGGGAAGGAGAAGCAGCAAGGAAAGGCCGCGGCGGATCTATTGGGCTGGAGCAGTCCCGGGGAGACGGACCATTAGGCAAAGGACCCATGGCTCAGAGCTCAGGGAGAGCAGGTAAGGGGGAGGGGGCCGGCGCGCTTAGGGGAGAGCGCTGAATATTCAGCAGGGAGGGAGGGGACGAGCCCGTCGCCCCCAACTCCCTCCCCGGGCAGGAGGCAGCCGCGGCTCCTTTCTCCCCGCCGGATCCCTCCCAGCCCCTCCTGCAGGAGCCACGCTCCAGGGCTGCTTTCCCACCGGGCTCATGGGGAGAGCTGCCGCTGCCTTGCACCGTGACACCTCCAGAGGCGTGTGTGCAAGAGCCCCGCGTGTGCACTGCGAGCGTGCACCACAGCCCGGGGCTTCCACTCTCCCCCTAGCCAGCTAGCCGGCGTCCGGTCCTGAGCGGCTCCCCTCCCCCAGCGCCTTTCACTCCTTCACTTCGGAAACTTTTCCTAGTCGGAGTTTTGCCCCCTCCGGGGAGCCGCGGAGGAGCAGTTTACCCTCCCCGCCCCCCCCGCGGGTTTGTTGCCCTTTGTGCTGCTTGGTGCGTGTCCCGAGGTCCCGCGTGTGCCGGGCTGCGCGGGTGGGTGCCCGGCCATGTGTGAGTGTTGTGTCTGGGCGTGTTGCGAGCGAGACGCGTGTGCGGTGCGGTGCGGTGCGGTGCGAGGGGCGCTGTGTCTGCGCGCTGCCATTGGGGACACGCCGCTCCCCGGGTCCTGGGGCTTGGGGGCGACTTTATGTGTGGGGGGGGCGGGGGAGCTGGATTTGATCAGGACTTGGGGCTCGGACCTGGGAATGGGGCTTGGCTCCGGGATCTAAAGAGCCGGCTCCTTTGAACTCCTTTTCACCCGCGCCGTTGCCCCGACCCGCGCGGCTGAAAGTGAATTCTCCTTGGCCGGCGCCTGGATCTGTGGATTTATTTTTATGGGTTTTTTATTATTATTATTATAGTATGAGTCGCAAACAAAGCTGCAGTGAGGAGCATTTCCTGGGGGCTCCTGGCGGGCTGGTCGGGGGAGGGCGCACGGATGATGCGCTTCGAGTCGTTCAGATTACGTCTGAAGCCGTGCTTTTAATTTATTTCAAAAAAGAATAATAATAATCCAGGAACCTAAGCGAGGCTGAAAATCGTCTCCCCGCTCCGGGCCAGCCCTGCATTTCCCTGCTGCCTGGGGTTTTTAGCTGCTGCTCAAAGTCTTGGTCAGCAAGCAAGGGTCCACGCTACCTTTTGGAGCTGTTCGCTGCTGCTCTTTTGTCACTTCTGATCGAGCCATAGAAGGGAATATTCCCCACCGACAGTGGGGCTTGGGAACACACACACACGCACAAAAACACTCTCACACGCATCTCCACGCACAAAGACATCCACACACCAAACGCAGGTATGCACCCGCCTGGCAGACACCAGATCCAGCTTTGTACACATACATATAATCGCTAGACACAGAGATAGACACATGATGGGAATATGAAAGAAATCTATATTAAAATCAGCTCTATCCTGTATTCTCTGTATTATACACATTCTACGCTAGATGAATTTAGAAAGATTTACCAAAAATGTAAAGACGTCAAAAAGAAAAAGAAAAAGAAAAAAACCGCATAAAACAAAAGGCATTGTGTCTGATCTGCAATGAAAACCTTCTAAGTAAAAACCGAATAAAGCCCTCAGAAAGTTTGCAGCCCCCTCTCTTCCTTTTCCCTTCTGAGTTTTTAAAGGATCTGCTGAAGTCCCTTTGCATCTGAGGTTTAAATAGGGAGATCAATAGAAAACAGTTGTAATGATCTAATTAATTATGGCAAAATTAAAAGCGAGTAGAAAATCAATCTCTGATGGTGTTGAAGATGGAATTAAATTGATAGTCCATCTGTTCACCTCCTAGACCGTATAAATATGCAACCCAAGGACGGAGCTAATGGGATCAGGCTGCCTGGGAGACTCTTTCAATCTCTCTCTCTCTCTCTCTCTCTCTCTCTCTCTCTCTCTTTACTTATTTTCCTTCCTGAAGTTCAAACCTGCAAAATCAGTCTGCCCCAGCCCCCCCGCCCCCCCAACATCGCATGACTCTGCACAGGGGATGCTCAAGAAAAGGGGTTGCTCTCTGCATCACAGTCAGCATCAACCACAAACAGCAGAAATCTTGTGTGTAAAAAAAATACCTCTGTATTTAGGGTGAAAAACAGCTGGGGAACCAAGTGAAATAACAGGAGTTCTCTCTCTTCCTCCAGTCTTATTATTATTATTATCATCATCATCTGGCTCGGGGAATCTCTGTTGTTTTTACTCATTCAGATTTGAGGAAAATGATAGGTTTCTTTAGCGATATGGACTGAGATAACCTGTGTGCTCTGGCAGGAAGAGACTATGTATAGAATGGTTTTTCCAGCCATTTGGAGCTGCATGGGGAACTACCCAGTTAGGAGGCCGCCCAACCCACAGCTGCCCCCCTCCTCCCACCCCAGCCCACCTCAGCCCACCTCAACATACCTGCGACTGTCCCAGCTCCGCCATCCTTCACCAAACGGGCAGCCAGCTCGGCTGGGAACTTCCCGGGGCTTCCTAGAGCTACACAAATATTCACAACATTTGTATTGTTTTGCATTATCAGCGTCACTTAAAAGAAAGGAGAATTGATGTCATTGCTAAATTAGAAAGCGATCATCGAGCCCCTGCGACACAATCCATTATGCTCTAGGTTTGCCCGTTTCTTTCTTTCTTTCTTTAAATAATAATACTACTAATAAAAGCCCTCCGCCTCCCCCCTCTGTGTATGTGGAGAGCAGATCTACAGCAAAGAAAGCAACTGCGCTAGCGTGGATCGCCAGATTGGCGGAGTTTTGCACCATCCTGGCCCCTTTTAATTATGAGAAACGCAAAACGTCGGGCGGCAGTTCAGAACCAAAATGATGATGTTTATTCCCCGGGTTAGAGCCGCGTGGGGTGGGGGCAGGGAGGGGGTGTAGTTTAAGTAAGTGCAGACGAAATGTAAAGCGCGGGGGATTGCAGGCCCCGGTCCTCGGCATGTGTATGTGCGCGCACACACGTGCATGCATGTGGCTGCGCACATATCCATGCACAAATATTTCCCACCCGTGCATCCACTATGCGGTGTTGGTGTTGCCACGCGGGAGCCCCAGAGCCGGTCCCGGGGGGCTCCTACCAGCGTCGCTGTCCCTCCGTATCTACACCACGGCCGCCCCGAAACTTCGCCTGCCCCGGGCTGCCTCCCTGGGCCTGGATCCTGGCTGTGCTGGGAGTGAGCATTGCACTTATTTCTGCACTCGGGATCTGTCTGCTCAGCTCTGGATGCCGGTGTAGTGCTGCTTGAGGACACTTTCCTCTGAACTTCAGCTCGCCCCCTTCCCCCCCCCCCCGCCCAGAGAGGTGCCGCGGTGGGGGGGGGGGCGCAGCCCTCACCCCCAGTCTCACTTATTAATTGATGTATTGAAAAGAAGGATTGATTGGCACCTCCTGATAGCAATCCCAGCTTTTGCTGTGCTGCGCGCTGCCCTCCGGGCTCTGGCTCTCCCTTTAGAGAGAGAGAGAGAGACCCTTGAGGCTAACTGGACGTTTTCATTTCAAATGCCCCGGCCTCGGCTTCCCAGATTAGACACATTTGCAGCCCGTACACGCATAGTGCAAACGACAGATCCTTGCACTAGAAACCCCGAGTGGGCATAAATGTGGCTGGAGGCAGCACAACGCGCGTCGCCAGCCGGCCGAGAGGATCTCCCGTCCTTTAACTGCAGCACAGCGAAGCGGGGGCATTTGCACGGAAAACTTCCTCGTCCCGAGTATTTAAAACAACCTAGGGGAAAGGCACGTGTCCTTTGCCCGTGGGTCGGGGCCCCGGACACAACGTGGGTGCCGGGAAGAGCCGCTGCCCCGGGGGCCGCTGCCCTGCCTGTGTCCTGGAGCCTGGCCGGTCCCTGCAAGACAAAGTTGGGTAGAGGGAGAAGGGTAATGTGGGACTTACGGGCAGGCAGGGCGTCTGGGAGGCAGGTCGCAGTCCGGCGGCTCCGGCTCAGCACAGACTTACGCACATTTAAAAAAAAAAAAAAAAAAAGCGAGAGGCTCATTGCCCGGTGCCGCTGCGATCGCGGAGCTCGAGGCGGCGGCGGCGGCGGGGGGACCCCGCTTGCAGCGCCCGTGCTTTTGGTGCGGGTCTCGGCCCCCTCCTCGAGCCGCGCGGGCGAGCGGGGCGCGGGGCTGGGAAGCCGGCGCTGCCTCCCTCGCTCCGCCGCCCCGCGCACCCCGCGCTCCTCTGTCCTCTCCCGTCCCCGATCTCCCTGAGCCCCGGCCCGGCCGGCCGGGGCACATCCGCTCCCGCCTCCTCCCTCCCAGCCCTGCCTCTCCCCGCGCTCCGCTCAACTCCGAGGCCATTAACAGCTGCTGGCGGCGAGCGGCGGCTCCGGCTGCCACGCGCTTTAATTAGGCGGCCAAGTTGGGCTCCGGCTGCTCGCAGCCCTGGCGCGGGGCTGGGGGTGGGGTGCACGCCTCTGTCTCTTTCCGAGCCCTAAAAGGGGCAGTTGTCGCCGCCTGCCCGGAGCCGGCGGGAGAAAAGTTTTCCCGCGAAGTTTGGGGCACTTTGCGCGCGTGCCCCCAGCGCCCCCCGCCCCGCTCGCACGGCCGCTGCCCGGCCCCTCACCTGCGCGGCCCGGGGGCGGGGACCGCCCTTTGCCGGGGCATTTTCCCTCTTTGTTCCGCGGTGAAATGGACCTGAACCCCCCGGCGGATGCCCCCGGGCGGGAGCGCAGCCTGCGCCCGACGGGACCGGGGGCCGGGCGGGGAGGGGGGAGTTACTGGGTATCTTACTTTCTTTTGAGAGAGAAGCCCCCCGCCCTGTCCGCTCCCTCCGCGCCCTCCCGTGGCAGGGCCGGGCCGGGCCGGGCCGGCCGGGCGCGGCGGGTGCTTGGCG